GGCGGTCCAGCGAAGTCGAGGGGGGTGCCCGAGCTATCCTCTTCTGTAGGGTTTAGGGTTTGGGGTTTGGGGTTTAGGGTTTACGGGTTTACGGGAAATTAACCTCAAGCGGTTAAAGGTTACCTACTCAGGAACTAAGAAGAGGCATGTATCAGTTGGAGAAGGTCGGGCCACCTGCGACCCACTTCGCCGGACAGAACTGTCCACTCCAACCCCTGCAGAACGCAGTCGCCGAAACCCTAAACCCTAAAACCCTAAATCCCAAGAAAACCAAAAACCCTGAACCCCTAAACCCCTAAAGCCGAGGATGGGGTCTCTAGCACCGGCTCCTGCGAGTCGTCTCCGCCATTATGCGGAGCCCTGTCTGCAACGAGTCGAAGGGCAAAGTTCGCATGCGAGGAACTCAGGCACAGCACCTTCAACTCCCCGCCCTCTTGTTGAAGGCCTGCTGGGAAGCCGTTGAAGCTTCGATCGCGATTGAAGTGGTGCGGGAATATATTACTGGAATCGAACTGTAGCTATATATGGGATGTTCTTTCTAGGGTTAGGGTGCAGTATCCTTGCTATTTTAATACGGTAATACATCGTGTTGGAAATCCTCCTTGGAAAGGATACTATTGCCCACTCAGTACGAACACAGCTCCTAGAACTTAGGCTGTTGCCATCATCACCGTTTGAATTGCGACGCTCGCTTGTTTGTTTTTGCCTTGACTACCACAACCATAACCACTACACACGTAACACTTCCCCCGAAAAGAATGCACTTATTGCTTGACCCGAAACGCCCTCCCCTCCCTGAATAGTAGGATAGGAGTAGGCGCCCCTATATGACCATACCATAAGCCCGAAAGCCCTTCTCTGTTTATTCAGGCTGTAGTACACCTTCCAAGAGCCCCCGGAGCATGGAGAGCACTTGGCTTGATCATGGAGGCCGCAAATTGGTATTTGCTGGCCTTGGATCCGCAGAGACATGAGGAGGAGAGCATGTTTGTATATACATACTCACACACACATATATATATAT